AGATACATGGCAGCACGTCTCTTTAGTCTTCATTATTTCCATGTTTGGTAACGATTATATAAAACTCATTTTTAGGCACACAAATTTTAAGTAAAAAATTTTACATGCGGACTCGTAACTCTTTTCTATTTTTTAGTGACACATTCTCCATTTTTTTTCTTTTTTTCATGAAATTTATTATCAAAAAATATACATCAAACAAACTGTTGGGAAAACACCTCCCAATGAATGCCCAAGAAACAAACTAAGTTGGCAAAGTGAAAATTTCCAAAATACTTGAAGAACAAGAAAATGAGGAAGAAATGAATCCAATGGAATATATGATAATCAATGTGTTAGGATTACTTGAACAAGCCTCAAGTTAATCCCCAAGAAAGAAAATACCTTTGAATTTATACCCAAGATGAACAACCTTCTATCTTGTAAAAATTCTCTCCAAAGTTTTCTCTCTTTTCTCTCTAGGTCTTGTGTTGTGTATGTTGTGTTATGAAAGAGGGAAAAGAATGGATATATATAGCTATCGGGGCACCTAGGCGCCAGGCGCCGGGTTTCTGTTTGGGAACACCAGCCGGGGCGCCTAGGCGCCATGGAAGTGGCGCCCAGGCGCCATGTTACTGCCGGGGAGGCAGAAACTGGGCGCCTGGGCGCCCGGCAGAACCAGCAGCAGAACCAGCCCCCTTCCTCTCTTCTCTTGCTCAGCTTCACCAGCTTCTCTTCTTCTCACAATTCTCCACCTCGTACATCATTTGATAGACCTCAAATTTTGGACGAACACAAGGAGAAGAAACAAGCACCAACTCGGCTGCATCATTCAAACCATGATTGCCTACGTACCCAAAACTCGGGATCAAGCCTCCGTAGTTCACCTCCACCTTCATATACTCCACCTCATTTCAACCTCGCCCCGAAGGGCCATGCCCTCTCGGGCATATCAACATGGACTAATGTGAAGCAAGTCCAAGCAATGTTGAAACTTGCTACCCGTCACAACTTTGGTTAACATGTCAGATGAGTTCTCATTTGTGTGCACCTTCGAGAGTGAAATGTCACCTTCCTCTATAACATCACGCACAAAATGATACCTGACGTCAATATGCTTGGTTCGAGCATGATGAACCTGATTCTTAGCCAAGTGAATCGCACTCTGGCTATCACACCACAAGTCCACACAATCCTGCTCAATCCCCAAATCATCTAGAAGACCCCATAGCCACAATGCTTCCTTCACTCCCTCTGCCATGGCCATATACTCGGCCTCTGTGGTAGAAAGAGCAACTGTAGCCTGTAACATCGATCGCCAACTAACTGGGGCACCATGTATGCAAAACACATATCCAGTAGTAGATCGTCGTCTATCTAGATCACCTGCATAATCCGAGTCCACAAACCCACTTATATGACATGCATCTCCACCAAAGCATAAACCCGTATCCGCGGTACCTTTTAAGTACCTCAGGATCCACTTCACAGCTTCCCAGTGTGCCTTCCCCGGATTCGCCATGAATCTACTGACCACACTCACCGCCTGTGAAATATCTGGGCGTGTACACACCATGACATACATCAAACTGCCAACTGCACTAGTATAAGGCACACGATCCATGCGTACCTTTTCTTCCGCTGTAGTAGGGGACTGTTTACCAGAGAGCCTAAAATGTGGAGCCAATGGAGTTACCACCGACTTTGCACCTTGCAACCCGAACCTAGCAATAACNTCTCTCTTTTCTCTCTAGGTCTTGTGTTGTGTATGTTGTGTTATGAAAGAGGGAAAAGAATGGATATATATAGCTATCGGGGCGCCTAGGCGCCAGGTTTCTGTTTGGGAACACCAGTCGGGGCGCCTAGGCGCCATGGAAGTGGCGCCCAGGCGCCATGTTACTGCCGGGGAGGCAGAAACTGGGCGCCTGGGCGCCCACTCCTGGCGCCTAGGCGCCCGGCAGAACCAGCAGCAGAACCAGCCCCCTTCCTCTCTTCTCTTGCTCAGCTTCACTAGCTTCTCTTCTTCTCACACAAACCTTCAGTAAAATGTTAGAGGTCCGTGTCAAACATGTACCTTGTTACGCAGTTTAAGAGAAAGAAAAAGCTAATGCTGCGTGCAGAATTTCTCCCTTATAAGCGTTTTTCTCTATGTGGACTAGAAAGCAGCTTCTTTTTCACAACTTAATAGCATAAAGAATGATTTAAGAATATACTGTTTTGCATGAAAAGAGGGGAGTAATTTCTTGGGGGCACTATATATAGATTTTGAGTTTCAATATCAGTCGTCAAGTGCATAAAGTAAGGTGTCTATTTGGTATACACTACTCGATGAGACGAACCTACAGATGTATGAATGCATTGCTGGGCAATACTCCTCTGGCAGGAGCTTTTTAACTGCAAGAGACACAGCTCATTGAAACAAAATAGTAAGCTCCCTGCCAAGGGAGATTTGCCCGGCAATTCAGCTATACAAGTACATGCAACTACACAAGTTGGTTCAATCCATTAATGCAAGGTAATTAAGTACTTTTTATTTTGCTTGCTATCCAATTACGTATAAGATAAAGAATTGCTGAGACTATGAACTTTTGATCGACGGCGAAAAGAAAGTTTTTTTTTTTTTTTTTTTAATATATTTCAGCTTTACGTGAGCTCGAGTTTTGTCACCATCGCAATTGATACAACCTTTCATTAAATTGCAGTATCATGGCTTAATTTTTTTTTCCGCGTTATTTTTTTGTTTGTTAATTTCTTTATGATGGAGCTGGTGCTTCTAATTGGTTTGATGATGATCTGTGGTGTTTTCATTGGTAGAAAGCTAGGGTTTTCGTTGCGCATCAGACTGCAATGAGTGTTGGAATGACGAATATGACCCTAGTGGGGGAATTATTTGAAAAAGGAAAAAAAAAATATTCCGTTGCCGGGACTTGAACCCGGGTCTCTCGGGTGAGAGCCGAGTATCCTAACCAACTAGACTACAACGGATTTGTTGTTGTACGTTCTATTTAAAACGTATTCATATGGGTACCATTTACGTTTACACCTTTTTTATTTAAATTTTTTGTCTGTGCACATACATAGTCCTTACCACACATATATCAAAGTTTATATAAGAAATTACATAAGGCTCATATGTCTATCTACCATTTGTCAATTATATATATATATATTCATTCTTTTCTTTCCCTTCGGATTCGAATGCGTTTTCTTGCATCAAAATCGAACACAAGTTCTTACTATTGAAAATAAAAAATTTATTTATATATCTTTTCTTTTCTTTTAAGGATAAAAATGATTAAGATTTCAATTTGCAAAACCAAGATAAAAAAATACTTGATATTACACATTAGAACGAAGAAAATGAGATTCACCCTCGTTCCAAATTATTTAGTAAAAAATGTCTTCTTATCCAATTTTGACATGCATTCGGCCCTACTCGTCATTAACCATCTTTAGATTCTACAAAGAATGCAGTATATATTACATTGTAACATATTATGATAGACTTTTCGATAATAAATGTAAAATTTAGATGATCTTAACAAGAAAATACTTAACTCAAATTATTTCAATGATTCTTTGCCATTGAACTCATTGATGCTAATGGAATATGATTTTGGAGAAAAACAACAAAATTAAGAGTTGCAACAATGAGAAAAGATTGGAAAAAGCCATGAAAACAGGAAAATGTCGATATAATTTATATCGAAGCTGTCGTGGTGACGTTTTTTCTCTTTCCATCTTTTAATAATTTCACATTTGTTGTTTGTCAGAATTTCCTATACTTATAACATGATTAGAAAAGATTAATGATCATGAAACTTAACCTTTCGCCATATTATTTCATAATTCAAGAAGACCTAAATTCAACAAATTGCACGGTTGGTAGCCGAAAATGGGTTTCTATTTTGAAATTAGAATGCGAAAAGTTCATTTTTGATATGGATTGGAATTTGCCTGTGTAAAAATATGGTTCGAATCTAACTTGGATCATCTTCCAAATCTAAATACTGAACCAGCCCATGGATCCACCAATAATGCAAGCCAGGTCGGTCCGTCCCATATTTTTTTTCTGAAAATTTAATTTAAGCTACAACTGATATAATACATCCTCTGACTGATATGTTTGCAAAATAATAATCCACTATAAAATTGTTTGTGAAATATAAAAAATAATTTACAAGTAGAATTCACTAAACATGCATCACTATAACGGATTTAAATTTTAAATACATTAAATTATTATAATTTATCTCTACTTTGGTCGTCATTTGTACAACTGAACATTCAAGCCCAACATGATTGACATACTAATATGAGTCAACTCGTACTCTTCAATCCTTCTTATTTGTTCTAAAGTGGTGAACATTTAAACCCAACATGAATGACATGTTACTAACATAAGTCAACTCGTATTCTCTAGTCCTCCTGATTTGCTCTAAAGTGATGAACATTTACGCCCAACATGAATGACGAACTAACATGAGTCAACTCGTGCTCTCCGATCCTTCTGATTTACACTAAAGTGGCTTAAACAGTCCTCGAGTCCATGTATTCTCTCCATCAATACTCATTCGTTTTTATATTTGAATATCTCCAATTCAAAACCAAACAAGATTGTTATTTACAATTTTGCTTTATTCATTTGAACTTTGTAAATTATCAAGCTTGCCGCTCGCATATCCATCATTTGAGTCTCCAACCATCATTCCTAACTAATAAGCATAAAATAAAATAAAAGATGAATTCTTTTTGCTTTTTGTAGCAAATCATCATTTTTTTCGCATAAATTATTGACGTTATTGACGTGGGAATGGAATCTGTGCCACAAAGAACTACATAAAATGATAAAATCACTTGCAATTGGTATATCCTAATTTATATTTTGGACAGAAATTAACAAAACTTAGTTTAATTTACTTATTTAATTAAACGTGATTTTCAAATTTACTTATGGAAAGTAAGCCTTAATTCACTTACTAAAAAGGTAACTTTTAAGCACAGCCAAGCCAAACAAGCCATAGGGGGTGAAAACAATCAAGCAAATAGAGAGAAACTTATGAAGTAAATACATATATAGAAACACAACAGAAGCAGATCAAACGAACAAAAATAGTCAACACCATTCTTGTTCCGGCTGCTGCTTTTGGTACATTTACAATTTACCGATTCATACACTTGACATTCGTCTGCTGGAAACTTGCTCGTCAGTTACTACCGAACATATACAACCCAATCTTTCCCTTTTCCTGGGTGCCGCTTAGAGAGGGACTGATGAGATTGTTGCACAAAAAAGGAAGAAGGAATATGAAACAGGAAGGTATAGAGAAATAATTTGTAGTAGCCTCATAGCTGCCCTTTAGTTTACTTATCCTTGTAGCCCAGGAGATGCTGCTGCTGGGGCTAACCTCACTTAAGAGATGATTTATCCACCTCGTGTTAACTACTAACAAGCAAAACTCGATAATGCTCCAGTTCACGTCATGCCCTCGGGGGATGCAAAAAACTGTAGTCCCATTTGTCTTTTCACATGATCGGGAATAAGCTTGTTGATCAGATCCGGTGACGCTCCAGACAACTATTACATGAAAATGGAAAACAATAATAATGTCAGAAAACCACAATCAAATTCATGACTATTCTGATTTGTTTAACAGAATAATGGTTCTCTATTACATAAACGATTATCAATCTATCTGAAACCATGGAAAATTCATTTGAATATGGACTAAAAAGAATAGAAAACGTGTGTTCACACTGCAGACCTCCTGTTTGAAGTTGAATATAGGTGGAAATGGGTGACCATTTGGCAGTCGAGCATTAGGTTCTCGAAGCTCATCAAAGAAAGGATGTGCACAAGCTTCTAGCTGCAACAAGAATCATTTCAGTCAGACGAAGAAACTAATATATCCGGAACTATACATATAGGCTAGTCGCATTTCATTCTAAGTAAGCAATATATAACAAAAGATGTTAGAATTAAAACTATTAGAAGTCATTTAGTACCAAATGAAAAGAATTAGTAGGTATAAGAAGGGAGAGAGAGAGAGAGAGAGAGATGAGCCTATTTTCAGGGTCAAACAAGTGGATCCCATAATCACGTGAGAATGTTACGACTATACTTCATATTTCTTGGGGAGAAGAAAGTACTAGTTCCTCTATTGAGGAAACAACAATCAAAAACCACATATTGCACATTAAATATATCACATCATAAAAACCAATTCAATTCTTTAAAGAAAAAAGAGTGAAAGTAGCTCACAGCTGTGCAACGAAGACTGGGTGAGTATTGCAGCAACCGGGAGGCAAGGTCAATTGCTTCTGGAGGCATCCGTTTGTGAAAGACCTGAAAGTAAAATGTAAAAACTAGGCAAGTCAACAAAATTTACAAAAATCAGTGAGAGGCAACAGATTATTCCTAAAGCTACACACAAAGAAATTTTACAAGACTAATGCAGCATATAGGGCAAGCTATAAAAATGGTGGTTGAAAACAACAAATTACAGTAACAATCACATATTCGCAACTAAGTAGTGGAAAATGCTCCATCTCTGTTATTTCTTAATCTTCCATTCTTTTCCTCATTTATTTTAGAAACTTTTCCCCAATCCTCAACTTGAAGGTATAGTGTTGTTAACCTGGCACCTCAATATTAGGTACACTTCAATTTTTCTTGTGATACTTTCCTTGGAATGTTATGGGTGGCCTTAGCATTAGAAATGCCTTACAATTGAATATCATAGATGAAAGGAAGACATCCATCCCGTATATGAGAGGCATTAGGATAGTTTGCATGTGTTAACATCCTCTTAAGACAAACATCTTTCTGCAGCACATTAATCAATTGTAATTTTTCACATTCCAAACATTCTCAATTTGAGTTTCTATATGACTAACTCCGAAAAACGAAAAACTTGTAAGAGCTCCACACTCAAGTAAATGAAAGAAATAACATATTTAAGTCTCCGTTCATGTTTCATTTATTCCCGTTTCACTCTTGAAGCTTAGCTTTGCACCTACAAGTGGAAGCCTTTTGGATATTTCTATATGTACACACTACACCTATGATTACCAGGACACCTTCATTCTTTATGATATACACACTCATTAGAAAAATAAACAATTTCCTTGGAAAGTCTACCTGAAATAGAAGTTAGATCGCGTGACCACAAACAAGGACAATAGCATGAAGAGGAAATGCAGAAGCAAGAAAATTTATACAATTATAAACCAACAAATGATGTTTCTCCCTAATAAACTGGAACCAATTTATAACGAAAACATACCTTGTGCCACGGATGTGCCTTTATTTGAGGAAACCTAAAATCAGTATAGTTTGGATTCATACAACGAATCTCCTCCCTGGTTGGAGTTCCAAGAACCTGGAAGATAAAGCAAATGAAACTACAACACTAAGACCTTATGTTGCTCGGACTCTGGTACGGTTTACATATCTAAGTGTCACATCTTTTATTTTTGAAAATGTAGATATGGGGACATGGCTAAAAAGAGTTCAAATTTCGGACAAAAGTACTGGATACGTCTTTCAAACTTCAAACTTTTTTTACTAATTCAAGCTGCCATTTTGAATAGACCAAAATCAATTATTCACAAAGAGAAAATATGTATTGAATAAGGGGTTAGGACGAATATAATAGAATTTTGGAGTTTAATTTTCAATTATGGGAACCACTAAATATTATAAAAAATAAGGGACTTAATTGCAATTTAAACTGAGTGGAGAACTAAATAGCACTATATGGAACTAATTTTCATTTTATACAAATAAAAACCTAAACCACGAAAAAAAAAAAAAGGAAGGAAAAGATGGAAAAACTAGCGCTGCCGCCTTTCTCCACCCTCTCGACGGTAACGCTAGATTTATAGATAGCAGAAATGGGAAAGAAAAGGAAAAGAAAAAAGAAAGAAAGAAAAAGGAGAAGAAGCAAAAATGACGAAGTGTTCGGTTGAAATGGATATGACACATACCCCATACCCATACCCATGTCACAACACGGGTACTCCGACTATTTCGAAGAGTCCGAGCATCAAAGCTATGACCAAATTTGCATCACTTTTAGAGTTATTAATCAAATGGCACCTTGATAATTTCCACGAGCTGGCCCACAGCATTTTCCCCCGGAAACAGTGGCTAGATAATTAGAATGTTACATCAGACCAATATATAAATGCAAAAGAAACAAATAAAAAAACTCATAATTCAGCAAAGACCGAATATTAAGACTCTACTAACTTGTCCAAGAAGAAGTTCGGCAAGTACACAGCCAGCAGACCACATATCAATTGCGGTAGTATACTCTGTTGCACCAAAAATCAGTTCAGGAGCCCGATAAAACCGTGAACAAATGTATGATATGTTTACTTCCCCTTTCACCTGTTTAGGATTGAATTTTATCAATTATAAATCACTTCAACCGCAATCATCATGTTCTTAAATTGAACACAAAGTAGCAGATGGACTATGACAGGAGTAGTTTCTAACAAATATTTCAGAACATACAAAAATAAAAGCAGGTCGTTAGCACAAGCGCAGCAATAAAGAAAATAACTTAGGGCAGCACCTCAAACAACAAAACTAACATAAACATGAAGACCTATGAGTAATTGGAAATTTTCCTACCCAGATCAACAGACGGAAATCATGGAAAATGCTTATAAATCATATAGCACAGATGTTCACGGAAACAAATAGAACAGGAATGGGAAGGAGTTTCACTTACTAGTACTTTTGCACTTCCAAAATCACATATTTTAACCTGATGAGTAAGAGGATTAACCTGTAACGAATAGCAATAGCAAATAACATTACTTAAAGACTACAACTCATCAACTGAAGTTATTAATTGTAAATAGTTCTTAAATGCTTACCAGGACATTTTGAGGCTTCAAATCCCTGTGGCATACTCCAGCAACTGTATGCATGTAAGCCAGCCCCCTGAAAATCTACGATATATTTCCTAATTATTTTGTAGAAAATGATACATATATCATATATAGCTAATAAATTTTTATTTTATTTATTTATTATTTTATTTTTTTTATGACCGTGGATGTCCAGACTAGCTTGCACACATCTCGACTAATCTCATGGGGCCCTGAAATTTCTAGTCGGGTACTCACCTCAATGGCCTTGAGGGGATTTGAATTGGTGACTATTGAGGAGCAAACCCAAAGTTCGACCATTGAGCTACCCCTCAGGGTTGTATATTATAAATAGCTAATAATGAAGATGAACGCATACTTGGTATGTATAAAGTTTCACGTAGATCAGTGGCATTCTCTGGTTGGTGTTGCTATAGTGCTTCACGACCCGATACATGGTTTCCGGAACATATTCCATTACCAAATTGAGAAACAACTCATCTTTGCTCGTAGTTGAAAAGAAACAATGCTTCAGAGAAACAACATTTGGATGATCCATTGTCCTCATTAACTGCAGTTCCCGGTTCTTGTATCTTCTATCTTGCAAGACCTTCTTAATAGCGACATTCTCCCCAGTTTCCAGGCACTTTGCCTACATAAAGTGAAAAATTAATAAAATTAGTTGACAGAAAATATCAGAATGACCAAATAGCACCGGAGTAATGAAGATATACCTGAAAAACTATTCCAAATGAGCCCGTCCCCACCACTCGCTCTGCCATATAACTTACTGTCTGCATGAAGAATCATTCAATACCAATTAGATTTCACCTCTTCATTTTTCCTTTATTTTTTCTTTTTTTCATGTTTACGCAAGCTCGAAAATGCATACTAATACACTTGCACATATGCATACATGAGTTGTGAATCACCATGATCATAAGCAGTCAAGAAGTGGTCTTACCTGCTTGGGTTCTCCATTTTTACCCCCTATGGTGGTGGAAATTATGTGACCCGTGACAGCACCATTCCCATCCATTACAGGATCTGACATGTCCTACAACATAATTTATATTAAACAAGAACAAGTTTTGGTCATTCAGGAGTTGAATAGCATTTGAACTACAAAGAATAAATTATATTAATAAGATTTCAGGACCATAACAAAATCCTGTTATACCCGCAATAGATCCAGATTTATCATATATTTGAACTTACAGCTTGTTTGAACCCCATTATTTATAAAAAAAAATGCCTTCTTCTACAGTATTTTGACATCATTTCAACCACACATTCTCCAATAAAATAAAATTACACATAAATTCAAAAATTTTCCTTATTTTTTAAACACACATTTCCCATCAATGCGCTATTCAAAAAATCATTTTTTTCCTCCGAAACGGGGCACAAACAAGGCCTTAATCCACAAATCAATAAGTGAAGTATCATGAATTAGCTGGAGATTATCAGCCTGGGATATGCAGTAGCACCCGCAACAGACACTCCAGATCCCACCATCCCTTCTGAAAAGCCGGTTTAATGAATAAGAAATTGTTCAATTAAGTTCAGATCGTGAATCAAGGGGCACAGTAAAAAAAATAACCAAACTCCTAATCTAGTCCCTGTTCTGCTACCTGAAATCTGAGCAAGAAGTAATTTTTTTACCTATATCACGCCAAAAAATAATCAATTAAAACGTAGAGCAAAAATTCTCGAAAATCTTGAGGAATAAAGAGAATAATCTAATACAATTTATAATACCCTACACATCAAGAAAATGCTCAATTCGGACAAACGAGTTTTGTTTTCTAACAATCTAATTTTACAAATACTAAAAACGAAATCGCGTATCAGAATTCGACAAAAAAATAAAAATAAAAAAATAAACCCCTCAAGATATGACCATGTTCAACAACAGATTACGAAAGGCTATTTCTTATCTATTCTTCACCCATAACACAACCAAGCAAAGCGGAAAAACAGAAAAATTAACAGGTAAAACCCCTATTTTAAGCATATTTTTTCCAGAATTTTCTCCTAAATGAACACAACCCAGAAAAAAATCCAATCTTTTATGGGAAAAATGGAAAAGGAACGAAAGAATTTATTACCTTATCGTCGGCCATAATACTGATGAAATAAAACTCCGACAGGAAATCAAACCAGAAGGAGATGAGGAAGAAGAAGAATTTAGCTTTTGATTAGGTTTTTCTTTTTATGGTTCAGTGTTCATAATTGTCGGTAAGGAAAGAATTAGATAGAGAAAGAGGGAGGACCCATCAAGAAAACAGCACCCATGTGATTCCAGCTCTTCTCCTTTTTGGTCTCTCTTCCCTCGTCTCCCCACAGGAAAGAATGAAGAAAAAGGTGCCCTTGGACATATCTAGTGGTGCAAAGGATATGTTCAGCCTTGTTGATAGTTATATTGTGAGAGTTCGATTCATAAAATATGGATTAGAATTTTGTAGACACCAATGTACAAATAGTTCTTGTTTTTTGGACTGTGAGGCATATCACGCGATTAACCTCTCTCACGATACTCCAAAAATAGGGTGGTGAGGGATCCTTAAGATTAGGGTTCAACCAAGAATGAAAAAAAAATGGTACCCTATAATTACTTATCCGAAAATAAGTGAATAATATAAAGAAATCGAGATAATTATAGAGTTGGGACTTTCTTGTTCTTGTGTTACGAGGGGATCACTTAACCAAATTGATCAAAACAATGTTTTCAGGAAACCACAAATAAATTTGGCCAACCTTAAATTTGTTTGTAACTTAATTAGTTTTTACACTTTAAGGATAGAGATAACTAGCCCTTTTGGAATTTTTCTTTGAAATAACATCCCTTATTTCTATCCACCAAGCATTGTTGATGTTATTCTTTGAAGAGGATTTGTGAATTTACATCTTGAAAGTGAATCTTATTTATGAATATGTTTGAAAGTTGTTTATACACAGTTTAAATTATAAATAGATATAAATAAGTGATTGATAAGTGAAAAATTCTTCAGGTACAGAATTTTTTTGCCAGAAAAATGACAGATTTTTGAATTCCTACTCACATAGGAGTGGGCCCCATGTATAAAATATTGTAAAAAAAAAAAAAAAATATATATATATATATATATATCCCGCCCTTCCTGTGTGTATTGTGTGTATTCGGTAGGTAAATCTCTGTACCTATAGCAGCTCTCTTGATAAGTATAATAGTACTAGATTGCACAAAATGTGTAGATGAAAAATTATTTAATTAATTATAATGATTCATATATATTAGCCGAGCGTTAGTATGATGTATGGAATCAGTGATCAAGGTAGTCGCTTCGATTTGACTAATGCAGAGAATGACATCCATAGACCAAAGGATGGAAAGAGGTGAATGGGTTCTAGTGATCCAATGTCCTTCACCAAGTTCATGGTTTTCGAATTTTGAGAAGGAGGGGGGGGGGGGGGGGGGGTGTCCAAAGGCCTGATCATTGCCAAATTCAAAAATTTGTTTAGTACGAGAGCTTGAATTTAAAAATAGTTGAATCGCTTCGTCTAAAAAATTAAACAATTCGATGGCTCACATATAGGTGAAGTTAGACTTAATTTTTATCAAAAATTGTGCATCATTTTGATGTATAATGATAAGTTTTTCAAAACCTCTACTAACTCTAATACTTGTCAAAAAAATCTTCATTCATTTCATACCGTTCTAGCCATCTGATTCGCCTCAAATTCAAGAATTCAACATCATTTAGAGTGAAAAAAAATAAATATAAAATAAAATGTAAATATTTACTACATCCACGTGATATACAACTCTCTTGTCAAACATTGCCTTTAATTTACATGCCATTCTTTACTCACAAAAATACATATAGTATTATAATACATTTATACTTGTTTCAAGGTGACAAAAACGTTAAATAATTAAATAATATGGATGATGAGAATGACACGATGCAACAAATAAATGAAATAAAAGGAAATAGAGTTGTGATTTCTTTGTTGAAGAAAAATAAGGTACAATTGTATGCATTAAAATGAGATATAATTGACTTATATTCAATACACAGAGTAAACTAAACTGCTTCTTGTGATAAGATCTCAAGCTCAGCCCACCAGAGGGGAGAAAGTCTTGGTGCTGCTGCCTCAGGCGATACATCAATCACTCCCCGTAATTTCTGAACTATTTCTTTCATCGTTGGCCTCTTTCGTGCATCTTGTTGAATGCATCTTTGGATTACTTCACACACCACATCGAGCTCGTTATCTTTGAAGGACTTCAAGGTTGGATCGATCAAGTAGTTGATCTTCCTCATATCGTTCAAGTATTCAGAAGCCTAACAATGTCGAAATAATATAACATTATAGAATTGAAATATACAATTCTAGGAATCAGCAAACTAGAGGCATGTTGTTCAAAACTTCAACAATGTACAACTACATGGAGCCTAAGCCTAATTACACGGTTCACTTACCCACTGCAAAATGTCATTCAAAACATCATTAAGTCAGGTTTAGGGGCATATCAAAGATTCTATTCACGTACTAGGTGTCCTTGTATTCCTACATATTTCTTAGGGCGCTGTTTTCCTTCAAATACAAATTCTACTATCATAATATTCTTCTCATTCATCGTAATGGACCACTATAAATTTTTGTATATTTTGCTAGGTAGCCTAGGTTTTTGTACCTTGTGTTTTTCTCATAAATAAGAAGTATGAATTAATCCATAACAAAAAATTAAAACAAATAAGTAGCAATCCACCAGACAGATACCCAGTTGATGAGAGGCCCTTGCTCTTCGGAGTATGGAAGTTTTCCAGAGATAATTTCAAGCAACAGTATTCCGAAGCTGTAAACATTTGTTTCACCGTCAGCAAGTGGTGGAAGTTCAGAATGCTCAGAATCATTTTCCAGATTCTTTGACTTGGCAACGAGTTCTTTCCAGAAGCCGATCTCTGCAACCTAAAAAAGCAATCATTTATTTCATTAAAATTGGCTGACAACTTATAGGGGAATTTTTCACAATAGATCTCTAGCAATAATGAAGATAAAAGTAACACATTATGTTCAAAATGACTTCTTTTACTCTACAACGCCAATTTTATTCTTATTAAAAAAAAATGTTCCTTTTTCACAGTGGTGCCCCCCTCCTCATTTGCAGTTTCTCAAGAGCTCCCAAGTAAATGCATTTAATGGATGGGCGAGGGAAAGGGGGACAAGGAAAATGGGAATGGGAACAGGAACAGGGAGCAAGGGGAGAGTGCACTTCATAGATATAAAATATTGCATAAACATTCATGAAGAGAAAGAAGCCTACTTTAGGAGCATAATCATCTGTCAAAAATATGAATTTTGAAGTCAAGTTGCAATGTGCCAGCGGTGGAGTCAAATCATGCATGTGCTGAATGCAATAAGCTATCCCCATGATTATCCTCATCCTTGCATTCCAGTCAAGATGTTCAAGTTCTTTAACTGAAGGAAGAACGAATCAAATCTCAAAAAAACAAGTATCCCAAAATGACAAGCACAAGAATTTTGACATGTTTGGCTGTGCTTAAATTTAAGTCCCCAAACGTGCTACATCTTAAATTACTTTTTGAAAAAGTAACTTTTAAGCACAACCAAACGAGCTCTTTCTATTATCAACAAGAATTTTGACATGTTTGGCTGTGCTCAAATTTAAGTCCCCAAACGTGCTACGTCTTAAATTACTTTTTGAAAAAGTAACTTTTAATCACAACCAAACGAGCTCTTTCTAATATCAACAAGAATTACCGTGCAAATGCTCGGAAAGAGTGCCATTTGGAGGATACTCCAAAACCATCATCCTCGTAAAAGGTTCATCCTCTTCGCAGTATCCAATAAGATTAACAAAATTCTTGTGATTCACTCGCGACAACATGTCAATCTATTGAAGTGGAAAAAACAATATGAGTAAGTTCAAATAGCATTTGCATGAGATGACTGTTGTACTTTAGCAACCCTTCAAGTCGTTCTAAATGAATGAACTAACCTTCTTCCGGAATATCAATTCACAACGTTTTGACCAATCTTTAAGAGATGATATAGCAGTTGTGACAACAGCGATCTCTACTCCACTGGATAGAGTTCCCTTGTACACAGTCGCTATATTTTCAAATGCATTGATAATATTGCTGAAATCCTCGCATGCAGTTTCTAGCTCGTCTCTGTTTAACTTGGGGACCCCTGCAAGTCAAAGCACTTGCCCATTGCTCAATGCATTCTAATTCACGTATTTGCCTCAGTTCATATCCAGTTCAAGAAGGAAGTGGAAAAAGAAAAAGAACAAGTTCTACCCAAACCAGAGAAAATTGCATGAAAAAGAACTTAATTTGAAACATTACATGTTTCTCTTCAAACTAGCTTTTTAGTATCAGATTCTAGACCACAAGGAGCATACATACCCGTAACAAATGCTTTCTGCAACTGTCCACTCAATCCAGTCTTCCAAGGACAAATTGTTTTAACCGCTCTGCTTCTGCAGATGACAAAGACGGCTGCTACAAAAATGAGCAGGAAAACTGCGCTTGAAATCCCAATGATATACTTCCATGAATTTCCAGATGTTTCACCAGTAGGAGATTGCTTATCATTTGGTTTACTGGCAGCAGCAGATGAATCCGGAGGAGGATTAGTTGTGTTACTTGGCTCATGCTGTGGAGGTGGAACGGGTGATGGTACAGGAAAAGGAGCCTGTTTCTTCCTATTTGGTACAGCTGAAAATGATCCGCTACTCCTACTGCTTGGAAGAGCGATGATAGGATCTGATGGCGACCTAATATCGGTGGGGGCTGCAGCAAGATTACTCGACTGTTCAACTAGTATACGACGTGCATTATGCGCCAGGTTCTTTACATTTTCGATGACATCTGGCTCAAGAGAACCTAGCAAATGCAATAACAAATATAATTTGACAAATGAATGGCCTATTTGATTAAAGAACCAGAAAACAGTAAAAACTGCTGCACTTCCAGTGAAATTTCAATTTACTCGCCAAAACTAAACTTCGTTGAAAATAGGTAACTGAACTTGCGCATTTGCTACAATATGATCATTTTATTAATGTCTTCTGGTTTGACCAAATATGACAAAATTTAAGTACTTACTATTTAGTGACTGTCAGTGTATTTAACTCAAGGAAAACATGTCAGTGCTTACTTGGTTGATTGCTACAGCTATTATCAGCATGATGGTGCAATGATTTTCTTCCGGACCTTGACAATGATTTTCATGTATAAAACAATGTGAAGAAAAAGATGAAAAATTAGCACAACTAAGCTTTGCTGTAAAAGAAACCTTGAGATTACTTACAGAGAGAACAGATTGAAGTGATGGATTAGGGTCTCTGTAATTGATATCAGAAAAGAATCTTGCTTCTTTGATGGTTCATGACCACTCTGCCACGTGCTGCACAGGACATGATTAACATAAAACGGGAAAGTGTTCAAAAAACGAGAATCTAAATATGCTTCCCACTGTGTGATGAAACAGTGACTTAGAAGTAAAATGTGTGACAATTAATCAATATGAAACACTACCGTTTTCAGTAGTCCATAAATCTCTTTCGGAAAAAAGGATATAGATTTGTTATAAATCATATCCATAACAAGATTCGCCAGAGGTAAGAAATTAGCATAAAATATCTTTGGAACAGTTAGTACAAATTAAATCTCTTCTCAAGTTTATTCGTATAGGTGGTTTGAGTTTTAAAAGGCAATTTAACATGCGAAAGAAGTAATATGTTACCAGTGCCCAATTTTTCTATTCACACGGCCAATTCCAGAAGCAGTTTTAAAATTCTCATCGAACTGTAAATCTGCCAGCAAATTAAGTTTCTCAATCTCCAGAGGAATGCTTCCTTCAAATCTGTTGTTACAAAGCAACCTAAAGCAAAATATATAATTTAGCAAAGGTAGATAATATTATTTCTAGCATCATGCGTAAATTAACATTGGCAGCTAAAAACTCACAAGTGTTTCAGTGAATGTAGTCTGCCTAATTCTGCAGGAACTGCTCCGTTCAGATTATTATTCCTTAAGTCTAACACTTCCAGTGTCGCAAGCTGACCGAGCTGTGGAGGGATGCTGCCCGAAAAATGGTTCTTGGAGAGGTTACTATGATCAGTCAAAAATGGCCCATGTAAGATAGACTTATACAATTTTTAAAAACAATAAATATAGAAAATCCTGAAGTCCTTTTCTATCAAAAGTGAGAAAAGAGGTTTGGGGACTTAGTTGATTGATCAAAAATTTGGTAATATCATACTACCTCAATGCTGGAAATGATAATTAGTTGATAGTTGTGAAATTATAATGTAAAAAGCCCAGAAAGAAGTTGATACTCACAGAAATCTTAAATGAGTAAGATTTCCAAGCTCGGGAGACAATACTCCTTGCAAGTACTGTCCATTGAGATCCCTATTCACAGGGTAAAAATTAAATGCATAAAGAAATATAGCCATTCTTTGAAGAATATTTCGATAGGAGAGGGGAGGAGATGGGGCGGGAAGGAGGGAAGAGATTAGTCAAAATTCGGAATCTTCAAGAGATTTATAGGAACTTAAGCATGAAGGCATTACCTCAAATATGCAACTAAAATTGCTAATAAGACATAAGTACTTACAGCATATACACTCCACCGTTCAGACAATGAACACCTGACCAGGTGCACGGGTCACAGTCATTAGGATTCCAATTTGCTAATGCTCCAGATGGATCACAATCTACCCTTGCTCGGAATTCCAACAATGCTAATCCTGCATTGCCATTTCTATCAAGTCAATAATGACATTATTGGCATGTTCGGTCTAAATTTTGTTACCTTCAGAATTGAGAGAACAGGCCACTTGAATCTGCAAAACGAGAATCAAAAGCAAAAAACAAGATAACTGGATTCGATTAGTCGTCCATCTACCCCCCATTGCTTGCCAAACCGTATGTCACAGTGGTGGAGGCAGTTTTGATTTCTGCCAACAGCCAGGAATTTGTACAAGCTGCAACACAAAATCGCCAGTTTTCTTGCGCAAAATAATCCTCCGAGCAATACAGAATTACTCGAAACACGTCAACAATTGCAATTTCTTCAAACAAAACCAAAAATCTTCAACGTTCCACGAGAGATCACCACCTTCCTCCGAGCAATGTAAAATTACTCGGACACAATACCAATAATGCAAAAACAACTACAATTTCTTCTCAAAAAACAAGAAAAACGCACATATAAAAATTCCCTTCTTCGACGTAGTAACCACATTAGGGTCTCTCATCTTCAAATATTATTAAAATTAGGACTATAGCACCTCCGTTTCCACGAACAATTGCATAAACAGGCTCAATGAATTATCTCCGAGATTCAGTGTAGAAACTGTCACAAATTTATCAATCCTGGTTCTTGAATAAAGTTAAAATAGGACAAAACAAGGGTATCCCACACGCCTAAACAGAATATATTATAAGAGAATAACCATATGAACAAGCAATCTATAAAGAAAAGGTAAAGAGCATAAATTTTATAAATTTGCAGAGTAAAAGGTTACATGAAGAGGAGGGAAAAAGGGCAGTCGATGATGATGCAACGAATTCTTTAGCTGCCTGTAATTTGAATGCCTTTTCAAAATACTTTTTTCTGCATAATATTTTCAAGAAAAAAACAGTAAATAGAAAAGGGTGCAGAGTATAATTAAATGAATTTATTGTGACACTCCAAATCGCAGCTTGAATTAAAAAATATATATATATTATTAGATAAAAATTGAAATGCGAAGAAATTGTGTGTGATTTCCTAGACTACCCTTTCCACGATGATCTCAGAGGTGAGAACTCTCTTCGACCACCATACTGTGAAACAGGGAAAAGTGAAAAAGGAAAGGAAAAAAAAATAAAAAGAAGGAAAAAAAAAAAAAAAAAAAAAAAAAAAAAAAACGCTTTCTCTCTCTAAAGATAGCTGCTTGCATTGTTTCTTTAACTTTCTCTCTCTAAAAATAGTCCTTCGTTTCTGTTTCTTTCACTGTCTCTCTCCTGCGCTCCACACCACCCCCAGATACGACAACCCTCTACAAACTACGCTCTTTCCTTGTTCTTCTGGGAAAATTGCATCTTGATCCACCAATCTAATGAAGCAGTTAAAAATTCATCCTCATCTTTTAAAAAGAAGCAATTTAGTTTAACATTTCATTATTATTGCATAATCAACCCATAACAATAAAATTATCTATATCTTTATGAAATTGTAACTTGACCCTTGAAAGATAAGAGAAGCAACCATTATGAGATACTCAGATATGTAAAAAGTATTTGTTATAATGAAATCACCGAAATAAATAGTACACAACATTTCAGTATATACATTTGTAGTAGTGAAAATTTCTCTTCACATTTTAATACATGAATGTTTATGCAAAAGCGAAATTAACTGTGCCATAAAAGGTTAGCTACTAGGATTAAGGTTCGTTTGACATGACTTTTGCTTTTATTCCTATAGAAAAACTTTTAGATGAAGTTATTGAAAACTAATTTTTAAAAGTATTTGCTATTTCAGAAATGTTTTTCGAGGAAATCGCATTGAATTAACTTCCTCTAAAAGTTTTTTTACCAGAAACACTTTTATAAAATTTGTCAAACGAGTTCAACAGTAACTTTTGAATATAAAAAACTCATTGACTTTTCAAAAGTCATATCAAACGAGCTCTTAATCAACCTTTTGAATTGCATTAATACTTTTTTTGTTTAACAACAAAAACATATTTCGGTTCAATTATTTTCATACAAGTTTAAATTGAGAAGCTTATCTTAATTAGTTTAGCTATGCAAGGGTCATATGAACGAAGAGAAATTTGGTTTTAGGGATCAATTTACCCTTTAGAAGTTGAAGATCAAACTGCTATTATAGCAATTATTAAGGGACCCAAAGGTATAGCAATTATTTTCTGTATAATTATTGTTTTGTTTTATTTTTGACATATTTAAATGGGTCCCATTTGGGTTGTAAGAAAACTGGGAAACGGGCAAGATTTCCCGCGTTTTTTAAATGACTGGTTGTGCGGGTCCCACTCTTGTGCCTGCCTCTTAACCTCTACCTCGGCTTCAAATATAAACATTGCTGTAAATCTTGTTTAATAATGATTTTTTAATTCAAATATTCAACATTTTTCCTTTTGATTTATTTTTTAGGGCTTCTTTCATTTCTTAAGATTTTTCATTATTAAATCTCTAATATTTTTATTTAATATTAAATTTTTTTACTATCCTTGTTACTCCATTATGATGACTTTTTATGACGCTCGTTGACATTTCTCTTACAATGGCTTTTAATCATAATTTTCAGCAATTTGCAGTAAATGGATTCCTCTTCCATTGAACCTTTTTCTATTTCTTCGTTTTTACTTCATGGGACTCTGTGTTTTGCCATTTTCCTTTTACTAGTTGTTAGTCCAATATAATCATCCAATATAATCACCACGGCTCTAGAAAAGTTTAAAGAAGATGATGACAATTATCATTTAATACATAAAATAGTCATCATAGGAACCAACATAATCCTATCAAAAGATAGGTAGTACGAAAATGGTTACTGAAAACATTACACCAGTCCTCGATTCAAATATATTAGTTTTATTCAAAGTTTTTGATGAGTTTCAATTTCTGAAATACGTCTAGGATAAAAACATCAGTAAAGTTCTATCTTCAACATGCCAAGAAGATCAAAATTTGTATAAAACAAGGATTTAAGAGCATACCTTAAGGCAGAGGCCCTCTTCGACATCACAAATGGGATACTCGCTGGGGTAGCAGTTCTCAATACCCTCACAGCAAATTGCATTTTCATATGCATAACAGCCATAGATTAGGCAGCAATCGTAAAATTCATAAAGACAATAAATGTCTCAAGTGTGGGACAGTAGGAGAAATCTCTGCAGTAGCTAGGCAGTGATGGAGCTGGCGGAGGGAGCGGTCAAACAGCCAGAGGTGGAAATGGAGATGGTGAAGAGGATTCTTTAGTGGGATAAGAAGCTGTTTCGCATGGATAGTCACTAACAATTAAAAACGAATCAGACGATTATGTAAGGAACAGACCTCTTGAGACAAGATCCCAAAAAGGGGTGTTTTATTGGCGATGATTTACAACTGGAACTAAATAGAATGCCTCCAAGAGGCGCAAGCACACGAGTACTAAAAAAAATGTTTAAGTTTAAACTAAGAAATTGAAATTACATATTCTCTGTTTGAGAGTAATTGATTCGGGGTCCTTTTCTCTATGTCTTCTCTTCCTTTTATATTCCTTTGATGATTTCTTCGTGACAAACCGCTTGAAAATTGTTTGATTGCTGTAAAATTACCCACTTTCTTTATAATGGCTAACTTGTTGTGGAACTGCCGCCCCTAACTGTTGCTATTACTCTTTGTCGTTCAACCGCCTTCAACTGGGCTCCTTGAATCGTGAAATGTGATAAGATCACTCAATAACTGCTTCAATAACTGTTATTTTGGATAACCATAATGTTTATGCTTGTTGAGATCCTTGGCAATTCAAAGGTTTGGGCGAGAACGGGGTCATCACTCTGGGCGATCGTAGGGTATTCTATTCGTTCAGATTCTGGGCGTCTTGCAAACTCGGGGGATGATGTTACCGTATTCGTGGGCTTCCACCGCATTCATCAATAATCCTGTTTGAACCTTTATCCTGAATTCTCTAATTGGGCTTCACTCTTTGGGCTATTTGATTTGGGCTGCATTTTTAGTGTATCAACAATTACCTCCCAATATGGTAGAATTAATACTAATTATTAATCTTTGCCATATTCACTTTGTATTTTCCAGCAATATTTGAAATTCCCAAGAATTTCAATCATTATTTCCTTCTACAATCTGAAAAGGTGCAACGTTACAAACCCTTATAAACCAGAAGGACACGCCATTTCATCGCACCACTAAACCACGTCTCTATATTTCGCGCTTCTTCCTCGCTATTTCACTATTCATCTTTTTGCTTCTCTACTACGTTTCTCAGGCAAACCTTATCAAAACTACTACTTTGTTTCCAATGGCGACTTCACAAACTTAATCTTTTGATTCTTTTAGTTTTGAAGATTTCCAGAAAATCCTTTCTAGGCCATATGTAAATTCAAACTTCCTTGCACAAGCTAGTAATAACCTCAATGAATTCTATTTGGGTCCATCGTTCAATAATGCCGAAGCCGTCGGACAAGTGGCGGTGGGCCAGCTGTTCCCTTGCACTCAAGGTCCTCCGTTCCTGAACTCTCTGCCATTGAAGCTGATTCGCGAAAAATGTATTCGCACTTGGCCCAAAGCTGATGTTATTTTTCGTAGATGGCATGCACGTCTTGTGAGTCATGGCCCCACCAAGGCGATTTTTGATCGTGCTAGGATTTCAGATTTATTAGAAATTTCTCTTCAACTCGATTTTTGACCCAGTGCTTTTTCCTATTGCTTTGAGTTTTTGGTCTTCTGAGTATAACACTTTCGTTTTCCCTCTTGGTCCCATGTCTATTACTTTAAGGGATGTTGGAGCCCTAGTAAATCTCCCGTCTTTGGGCGAAACCATCTTTCCTGGTATCGTGATTTACAGTGTTGCCCCGAAATTTGACAAGAAACTTACTGAGTCCTATTCAAGTCTGCAAGGCTTTTATAATCACCCAAGCGCTGAACCTTCCCATGCTGAGCGTGTGGACTTTCTTCAGATTTGGCTCTGTAAATATATTCTTTGCGTGTCAAGTATGAAATATTCTATGAGCTATTTACCCATAGCGCATGAATTGACACATGGTAGGCCTTTGAACCTATGTTCTTTCTTTTTAGCCGCCCTTTATAGAGGCATGGCTTCCCTTCAGTTTCAACTGAAGAATGGTGCATCTCTCACTGACAGTGGCTCCCTTTGGTTCACTTAACTGTGGTAGAGAGCATATTTTCCACCACTTGGTGCTCCATCCATTTCCAGTCGTTCTGCTAGCTGCTATGGGCTAGCCATTGATCCAATGACCCCTGTAAATATGTCCAGTAGGGACATTTTTTCATTCTTTTATACCTTAAATTCGATTCCTTCATTTTTTCCTTTTCCTGCTCATTTGACTCCAGATTATGTGCAACCTCCATCCACCCTAGACAGTGCGAGTGCCTCTCTACTTGTTTGGGTTCAGTTTTTGATTGGGAGGGAGTTGTTCCACGATATCTTAACTGGAACCAATGCCAAAGTTGGGGTTGAAATATATGCTCCCCAATTTTTTGCTCGCCAACTTGGTTTTGGCCAAACTTGGCCTGTTCCTCCCTGTTACTCCAAAAATTTGACAAACCGTTTTCACACTATTAATAAGGCAAAGGCACATGCTATAGATACTCGCAACATTCCTTTGACGAGCAAATTTTCATTAGCCCCTTTCAATTCCAGCTGTGCTGTCCATCCCCTTTTTGAACATCTTTGGCCATCAGTAACACGCCAATTGTTTGCAACTAATGCTAATCGTGCCTTCCATTTACTGGACCAGTCAGACACCCCCTCTACTTCTCCCATTTTGGTCACCCCTGTGTCCATTAGGAATCCTTCCTCCCCTGCTCGCGCTAAACATTCTATCCATCCATCAGCTTCTCTACCTGCCAAGGCCACTGCAGCTAAAATTGCCTTAAGCCGCAAATGGCCAGCTTCAGCATCTCCCACTTTACAGGATGATGATGATGATGATGATGCTCCTCTCATCGTTAGGAGAAAGGTAATTGAATTTGTTTATTCCTAAACATGCTTTTCTATGTACTAATGGTTTACCTGAATTTCTCCGAAAAGTTCTACCTCTCCTTCGAAGGCTTTGATTTTGGCAGCTCCTCCTCCATCATCTTTTGCTGAAGCTACTTCGTCCAAATCAGCTGGTGAAGAGATTATGCTTAAAGAGAAA